GCACTGTGTGACAACAACATGGCTGGGGTGAAACAGACTCATCCTCCTTGCCACACTGGCTGTTTTAGGATGACCATGTGATCCAACAGAGGGGGCTCAGAAGTGTGGTTTGAAGACTAGAAGTAGTGCTTTGTGGGGTGTGGTCTTGGGACTACAAATGTTATACTGCTGAAAAGATAGTCAGCCTGAAGGTAAAACTGACACAGAGAACAGAGTTAAGACTAAAGAAGCCACATTGAAACTAAAATCTGCTATATTACTCTACTTTCAAGCAATGTGAATTAAAAACAAATTTCTTTATTTTTATTTATTTTTACTTTTAAAAAACTTTCCCACAACTTTATTGATGTATATCTGACAAATAAAAATAGTATAATTTAAGGTATAAAACATGATGTTTTCATATAACTATACATTGTGAAATGATTGCCATAATCAAACTAATTAACACACCCATCACCCACATAGTTACTTTGTGTGTGTGTGTGTGTGTGTGTGTGTGTGTGTGTGTGTTGAGAACACCTTCACTATGGCCACCATCTATACTAGTAAAAGTGTAATATGTAAATCGACTATCTGGAGAATTCCCAGATGACCATGCTATGACACCCACTGGCACCAGGCAAGAGAAGGCAGGTGTGATGTGATTGGTCAGGCACCCAGCTATCGCCCCAAGATCACCTTGCAGAGGGATGCCCAGCCCACTGGCAGGGCAATCAATTGAAAGCTCCCTGATCACCCCAAAGAGGGAGGCCCAGGCCACCAATCAGTGGGCTGCGGCTGATGGGTGGGGCTTCTCTTTGCAGGGGCACAATTGATGCATGATTGCCCTGAAGAGGGAGGCCCAGGCTTCCCCATGGTGGTGCTACAGTGGATGGACAGGGCCTCCCACTGTGGGGGTGATCCATCGAGGAGCCCCCCCACTAGGTGGGCAGGGTCTACCTCTTTGGGATGACGGATTGCAGGGCTCCCAGACTGTGATAGGGCACAGACTGGGCTGAGGGACTCTCCCATGTCCACCCTCACACCGAGTGTATGGATTTCATGCACCAGGCCTCTGGTGTTGTATATTAGATCCCCAGAACTTCATCCTACATAATTGAAACTTGGTACCCATTGACCAAAATCCTCCTAGAACATTAAACTCTCTGCTTTTATAAGTTTGACTTTTATAAGTTCACACACATAAATGAGATCATGCAATACTTGCCTTTCTGTGTCTGGCTTATTTCATTTAGCATAATGTTCTCAAGTTTCCCACATTGTCACAAATGGTAAGATTTGAGTTTTTAAAGGCTTAATGATAGTCTATTATATATACATATACCACCTTATCTTTGTTCATTTATTTATCCATTCATTCATTCATAGATTGTTCCTATATATGGCTATTGTGAATTATGCTGTAATGAACATGGGAGTGCTGATATGTCTTTGAGATACTGATTTCATTCCTTTTGATATGTACCTAGAAGTGTATTGCTAGATTATATGTTAGCTCTATTGTTAAAATTTTAAATAAATTACATACTATTTTCCATTATGATTATGCCAATTTACATTGCTGCCAAGAGTTCCCTTTTCTCCACATTCTTGCCAACACTTGTCTTTTGTCTTTTTTTTAATACACTTTAACATTTTATTTTAGTTTTATAATTTTTTATTATTTTACAGGAAGCTTTTTTCTACCTGTAACCAAAAGCATTTTAATTAGAATTAAAATGCTTTTGGTTACAGGTATCTATCTACTTCAATTAGAATTCAACTCTTGTTACTCCACCAATTCTGCTACTATACAGAGCATCCAATGGGCCACATGGTGGAGAATTTAGCAAATAGTTTTTCTGCTCCTCAATCTCAGCCTTTGAAGACTAAATTTTTCATCAGATATGCAAGTGTGCTCAAGGATACTCATTGTAGCACTGGGAATAATGGCGAAGTGTTGAAAATAATGTACTGATACACCAAACACACTGAAAACAATCTTCTGATGTACCCAATTTTATTTAATTTATTCTTATTTCAAATATATTATGTGGTTTTCAAGTGTGTACTTTATACATTATTAAATTATTTTCTTTATGCAATATTTCTATTTATTTCAAACTAGAAGCCTGATGCATGAAGATTTGTGCAAGAATGGGCCTTTCTTCCCCTGGCTGCTGGCACTGCCTTCACTCTGGCTTCCACCTTCCCACACTGCCCAGAGTCCCAGAGCAGCAAGCATCCTGCCCCCAGCCCCTCCACACCTATATATGCAAATCTTTGTTACATTAATTTGCATACCCAGCCCTGATTGGATGGTGGGCATTGCAAAGGTATGGTCAATTTACATCTTCCTCTTTTATTAGTATAGATGTATTTATTTAATTTTTAAATTATTATTTGTATTTTAAATTTTTAATTATTTGATATAAGCATTTACTTAATTAATAATTTAGTCACCAAAGGAAGACTGAATAAATAAATTATATTTTTATTTTATAGGAAGCAGCCAACGGAAGAGTGAAGCAATCTACACATAATAATATGGAATGGTTTTCAAGGTATACATGAAGTGAAAGCAGCAACAAGGAGAGCAGTGTGAATTTCTATGCTAGCATTTTAATTTCAAAAGACGTTATTAGTGCTTGTGTCTGCGTAAAATAACTTTGGAAAGATTAATAAGAATCTAGTTGGTTGCTTCTGAGAAAAGGACCTAGATGGTAGGTGGTTGTGACAGAGTGTGAAGAAAATTAACTTTTCATTGCATAACGTTTTTTGAATTTATTTATTTATTTATTTATTTATTTATTTATTTATTTATGTTTTTTAATTTTTACATTTGTGTTGTGGCTACATATTATTTATCAAAAACTAACCAAATAAATTTAAGTTATTTTTTAAATAAATAAATACCTAATTCATTGCAGAATATTACTGTTTATTAAAATTCCATCTTAAAATCTTCCATATGGTGTCTTTCATACTCATGATTTTAAGAACAATTAAATGCTGATAAAGCCCACATATTTATATCTTCTCTTTCTTTAAACTTGAGATTTAATTGATGTATACTATGTATTATTTTTAGGTATATATTATATTATATTATATTATATTATATTATATTATATTATATTAATATAATATTATATTATATTAATATAATATATTTCTGTATAGCAAAATGATCACCACAGAAAGTTTAGTTACCATCTGTTACATAGTTACCGTAGCTTCTCTTTTGAGTTCAGACTCATTTACCTCAAGGCCTCTTTGTATATCTCACAGACATTTCAAAACCTGGCAAAACTAACAGTTCTTCCTCGTACCCTTTTCTGACAAAACTGCCTCTCTCCAAGTCTTTCCCCTTCTCAGTAAATGCTGTCACCGACAACACTTGTGCTCAAGGAAGCTATCTGGGAATTATTCTGGATGCTGCCCTCTCTCTTAAACTCCATATCTAATCGATTATGGGGTCCCATGGACTATCTCATCTGCATATTTTATTCTTCTCTCTCACTCTCCAGTGTGACCAGTATAGTCCAAGTTATCAATCTCTTCCCCTCAAAACCTTCTTAATGCCAGTCCCTCAAAACTTCTACTAAAACCACTTAGTTCAAAGGAATTCCTGCTGCTATTCTAACAAGGAAGTCATTTTTTTTTCTTTATAGATCTTTTTAAAGCTGCATATACATGTTTGCTGTTATTTGCATAGATTCTTTCTTGTTGGATTATAATCTCCAGGAAGGGTGGGGTTGTATTAATTTTCTCAGGCTCCTATGCCCACAAGCTAGCAAAATGCCTGGCACATAGTGTATGAATGGTTAGTTATTCTCAAATGAATAAATAAGTTAAAGAAGGGATGAACTTTTACTTGGTGGCAGGTGATAGTCTAGACTTGGTACTTAAGGCATAAATCTGTCTTAAGATAAGCATTTGCCCATAGATTTCTAACAGGACAGATATAAAATGTGTATGAGAGAATAGTTTATGTGCAAATAGGTAGGATATGAGCAAATTTGTTTGCTATGGCAGGAAAGGGACGCATATCTAGGTAAAAGGAAAAGATGAAGAACAGGCTTAGTTTTCCACCTGAAAGATGAAGTGTGTGAAGTAGGTGACTTTCTATAATGATAAGATTCTGCTTCTCAATTTTTCCCAGACCCTGCCCTATAAGGTTGCCACTGCCTTAAATCTTTCTCCTAGGGCCATGGTCGGCAAACTGCGGCTCTCGAGCCACATGCGGCTCTTTGGTCCCTTGAGTGTGGCTCTTCCACAAAATACCATGGCCTGGGTGAGTCTATTTTGAAGAGTGGCATTAGAAGAAGTTTAAGTTTAAAAAATTTGGCTCTCCAAAGAAATTTCAATCATTGTACTGTTGATATTTGGCTCTGTTTGGCTCTGTTGACTAATGAGTTTGCTGACCACTGCCCTAGGGTTATCAGGAACACATGATATCAGGGTGGTAGAAATAAGCATCCTGCTCATAGCGTGCCCTACCCCCCCCCCCCCCCACACACACACACACTTACACACACCACTTGGGGATGGCAAGTGTTAAATGGTCCTCAGTTCCGGATGAGCCCATTGTGAGGCCACAGCCATGGAGACCCCTTTCCCACCACCAGTGGCCAGGCTGCCTACTGCTCAGTCCACAGTGTATCTGAGACTGTGGGAACATTGTTTCTTGAAACAAACAGTAAACAAAACAAGAAAGCAAAAGAACTGAAACATCCTCTTTATTAAATAACAAGCGAATCATCTATATACAATCCCTGGTCTGTTGCACGGGAGTGTTCCCACTCCACGTGACCAAAGTGCAAGCTCAGCAGCTGGTTGAATGCCCGGTAATACTTGTGAAGCTGGCTGGGGAGGCGCGCGGTTTGGTTCGCGCTGACATTCCCAGTTGCGGCGTGTGCGTGTGAGAGAAAGTGCACCATTTATGTTCACAAAGACTCTGAAGAATGACCAGCTTCCCTTAAAGCGCCCCTGTTGTGCCTCCCTACGCCTCTCTCCTAACAATGAAACCAGCTGTTACTCTTCAAGACATGTGTCACTTTCTTTGCATTGGGGTCAAACTCCCACTGCGTGGATCCACCGAAGAAATAGAAAAACCCTGCAAATACAGACAAGGGAAATAGTGAGATTTTTTTTTTTTCAAATAAATAAATTTGGCAACATACAAAACCTCAGAATAATGGATTACTAGGAATGCAAAGTGTTTTTAGAATTTAATATGTGCAAGAGACTATGTATTAAGCATTTTACATGTAGTGTCCTCCCTGCCCTCTCCCCCTACCCCCCTTATTTCTGCAACAGTCCATTTTAGGAAAGTATAGCCAACCCCATTTTACAGGAGCAAGTTGCAGTTCAGAAAGATAGACAGATTTAAATGCTCATAGGAAAGGATGGAGACAGCACTCCATTCCAGCTCTGCCAGGCTCCAATTGGGTTATTGGGTTATTCTGCTTCCAACCAGAGGACATTCTCTGCTCCTTGGGAAATTATAACCTCTTTGTTTTCTTTCTTCCTAACACTCCTCCTCCCCATTTCATTGCAGCCAGAGGGGCATTTCTGGCCTTTGAGGAGCCCTGGGGGCCTTCCTGGTGCTCTGGTTACTCTTGCAGCTAAAGGCCATCAACCTCCACCCACCTAGGCTAGAGCAGAAAAGAAAATCTTTTCATACTTCGGGTGCATGGAAATAGAAGTATTTGCAACTGACTAATGTGGCCAACGACTGACTACTCAAGAAAGGTGGAGAAAATCTCCCTGGGAATTAGCAGCAGCACCAGCGTAGCGTGGAGGAGAAAGCCAGCCAGCCGCGTTAAGTCTGGCCATACCACACGAGGGGATTTTTATACTGACTTTGAATCTTATCTAGACATAATATAAAGAAAAGTGGAGAAATTTGTGTTAAATACCTTCATAATTCAGAACAACTTACTTATATGACTGGTTAAAAATTCATAGATTTGTATGATTGGTTAAACACTTGTAAATTTAAGCTTAGGAAGGGAAGAGATAACTGGTGAAAGAAACCTGCCATTAAAAATTATTCCAGTTCTCTTCCCTCTGAAGCTATACAATGTTTCAAGCTGTAAAATGTTATTTTATTATTGCCAACAAAATAACTGTCACTTACCAAATGCTTCAAAAACAGCATCAACCTTTGGACCAACCCCTGGAAAGTCTTTCGCCGTTTGCCTGGGAAACCCCGGATCCATTGACCGTTTCTTCTCATCAAATCTGCACCAAATAAAAGAATGCAGCTCAGCATTGCATAGAGGCCACGTTACCAAAATTCTTAAACCATGTTAGGTTTAATGTGGAATTCTAGTAAACTTTCCAAGTACCTCAAGTAAATGATAAACATGTTTAACACTCCAGAAATATGTGACTTCAGTGGTACTGTAAACTTAGCTCTTAAAAAAAATATTTTTTAAAAAATTCTCTTCCCCCAGAAGAGAAGCAACATTTTGATCTAGCAAATGCTGTTCATTATTATATTTCTTAAGCCTGGGCATAAAGAACCTTAATAATTTTTCTATCACAAGGACATGAAGGTATGAACAGATGCATAAAGTGAGTGGGATCATTCATCTAAATACAAATTTCAGGTTCTCCATCATATCTGGCTCATATGTGCCCTCCCCACCCTGCACAACTGAGTTTTCTATGTCGGTCTCTTAGAAAATTGTATTGGAACAGGAAACAAAGCACAGTAAATGCATTCTGGACTTATTGGGTGGACCTGGGTTGGTCTGCTCAGATGTCTCAGAGTCTGGGCAGATGACTGGGAATCAGCCTCTCTATGAGTCTTGGGTTCTGCCCATGAACCCAGACTGCCTCTGCTCATTGTCCTCTGAAACAAGGCCTAGGCAATTAGTCAGTGAGGTTTAAGGAAACAGTTGAGAATCACATAGTAAAGTTGGTAAGACAAGACAAACACCCAACAAGACATTGACTAGACCTTTGGGACAATGGCCTGGATTCTCAGGGCTTCACTCAAAGAAAAAAAGCCCAGTTGGGTTTGGAGTCCAGGAGGAAAACCTTCATAGAGGTGATGGGACTTGAGCCAGCACTTGAGGATGGGTGAGGGAGGGACAGGAGTAGGAGAGAAGAGGGCACTTCTGGCAGGTTGGGCAAGGGCACAAAGGGAAGCTCCCTTCTATTATACATGGGACTCAAAACAGCAGAGCTCATGACATGCCTGTTACCAGACACTGCTTTTTAGAGTAAGCACTTCCCCACACTTAGGTCTAAGGCCCCAGTCCTCCTACTGGGAGCTGTGTGAGGAGGGGATTTCCTTAGAGAGAAAAAACCTGTCTCTAATTAGGCTCCATACAAAGTCATTCCGATTGCATATTACCTCCAGTATTTGTCCTCTACAAAGAAGTATGTTTTCTTCTTTTGTTTATCAAAAATGGCTGCGTCTATTTTTTTTACTGTTGGTGGAAAACCCAGGGTGTGAATGCTTCTAGGGTAACCTGCTTGCATCTCAATTCCTCGGATGGCCCAGAACTGATTTCCTGTTTTTTAAAAAAAAAAATAATAATTCAGAGTCACATGGAGTTTATAACAGTTAAAAACCTTTGGGCTTTAGAAATATGTTTTAGCACCTTTGATTTTATAGTAAAGAGGAAACCAGAAGCCAGAATTTTAGATTTAATCACCAGCTCAAAGTGTACATTTAACAAAAAATTGCCCATTGAATGAATGAGCACAGACTGAATGAGGGAATATACAACTGAGCAATTTATATTACTGGGGTCATTTTTATCTTCTGTAAAATATATAAATAAAACAATACCAGTTTCAGCCATTTCATCATTAGCTGGAGTAATAAAGTAGACAGAATTTGTCACAATAGAAAAAATCAAGGCCTATTTAGTTTTCCTGTGAGAGGGTTTATTTCAACAGGTTAAAATTTTATTATATAATAATTACCTTTAAAGATGAAAACAATATCCTTGTTAGTGGCTTCATATGCAGCATCCACTCCTGAAGGAAGAGATGGCCAAAACGAAGAGATCGAATAAATTACAGGTTCCAGAGTCCTTAGGGATTTGCGCCAAACATGCCTGGAATACATGTAAAAAGAAGAGAAATTGAAAACCAATCTTCCATCTTTAGCATAATTTCCTGTCCACCTGTCTCCCCCGATTCCCTCAGCTTCTAGGCTGATGACTGACAGAGATCAGGTATATTGCAGCGAGGAAAATATTTTTATTTTTTCTTCAGAAAACTGCACTGGACCTCCTGCCATAGGATTATAGAGTACTGTCTTCTGTGAAGAGAAAGTTATCCTACAATGCAAGTTAACTGACTGACTATAAACCTTAAATTCCCACAATTCATGTAAAACAGTGTATATATCGACTTTTTCATTTTCAAAAAGATAGACAGATGTGTATGTAAGTATCTGACTTAAAAGCAACCACGACTTATAACATTTGGAACAATTAGAGGACAAAAATTAAATCTTGCTATGTCTGTCTTCAAAAATGAACCGGACAATTTTAGGAAAATGGGGGAATTGGAGCACCAGACCCAAATAATTTCAGTTCAGAGGAATCATTTTTGTATATAATGTGTAAAAGCCTCCATTGAGTTTCCTTTTGTTTTCATTTTTAAGCATTGCACGTCAAAAGAAGAGAGAGGAAAATACAATTTCCTGGTCTGACCTGTCTTTAAAGAACAGGACTTCTCCCCTCAGGGTGCTGACTGCGTCGAAGGACAAAGTGGGGTTACACGCGGCTGGTGTCTCAGGACTTGCCGATTTTGTGGGCTCCACAGGGTCATCAGGGGAAGCAGGGGGAGGTCCTAAGGAGAACAGATGCAAGAATGCAAACATTAGCCAAAACCAGTTTGGCTCAGTGGTAGAGCGTCGGTCTGAGGACTGAAAGGTCCCGGGTTCAATTCCGGTCAGGGGCATGTACGTTGGATGCGGGCACATCCCCGGTAGGGGGTGTGCAAGAGGCAGCTGGTCAATGTTTCTCTCTCATCGACATTTCTAGCTCTCTCTCTCTCTCTCCTTTCCTCTCTGTAAAAAATCAATAAAATATATTTTTTTTAAAATGCAAACATTAGGAGGAGTGTGATGCTTCTGTCACTGCACAAACTTTCCAAACACTCCAAAGTGCTTGGAGCTGACTGCAAATGCTTCCTACAGCTTTATTTATTTATTTATTTATTTATTTATTTATTTATTATATTTTTTCTTTTTTCTTTATTGATTAAAGTATTATATATGTGTCCTTATCCCCCCCCCATTCCCTCCCCCCTCCCCGACTCATGCCCTCACCCCCCTGGTGTCTGTGTCCATTGGTTAGGCTTATATGCGTGCATACATGTCCTGACAATCATCACCGGGAAGCTAGGATGCCTCATTTCCCCAGCATCACTCACCATACAGAGACTGAATGCCATTCACATCATCTTGAGAAAGGCGGAACCTGGCCAGGTCGGTGCGTGGGTTGTAGACTGGGAACATCAAAGCTTCAGAGTTGTCTGAGTGCCCGAGACCCAGGGAATGGCCAAGTTCATGAGCAGCAACGAGGAATAAATTGGTCCCTATTTAGGAAATCATAAATAAGAGTTACTTATGTCTTAAATAGATGTACATTACAGATGTCAGCTGTGTATGTATTTGTTTACTTTCAGGAAGCACACAGGGCTTTTTATGCATTGAGTTTTGGTTAATCAGTCAATTGACTGATTACATACTTCATGGCAGGCTGTTTTTTCAAGGCCTATTAGTGATATCAATCTTTGAGACAAAATGTCTAGCCATGCCCAGCTATTCTCCTCTTAGGAGCCTGTTAACTTTATGAGAACTAGGTCCCTTTTCTTGTACTCTGACATGGAACAAACTTGTTTCTCTTCATTTGTCAATGAAAAGCTAAGCACTGTTTGGCTGTATTAACCTTTGTTGGTTAGTCTAAATCAGTGGTCTGCAAACCACGGCTCCAGAGCCACATGCGGCTCTTTGGCCCTTTGAATTTTTAGCAAAGGCCAGCTTAGAAGTACCCTAATTAAGTTAATAACAATGTACCTACCTATATAGTTTAAGTTTAAAAATTTGGCTCTCAAAATAAATTTCAATCATTGTACTGCTGATATTTGGCTCTGTTGACTAATGAGTTTGCCGACCACTGGTCTAAATTGAATAGATCACAGTTTATTTATCTCATTTCTAAAATCCTTAAACAATTTTACTGCCATTATTGGCCATCAGAATATTGCCTGCATAATTTTTCTGCCTCATGATGATTATTTAATACATATTGGCTCCAAAAATAATAATTATAGATGTCAGGGAATTTGTACAATTAATTTAAGACGTAACATGCCCAATCATGTCTAGCATTTGTCAGAAGAGATTTTGGCCACACAAACACATGCTGTATTCAGATTTTTTCTTCTTCATATTATAAAAATAAATTAGAATGATGAAATTGGAAGACATTGGGTAATTAGGATTGAAATGCCAAGTAAGTGGGCTTTACTTTCAAAATGCTCATTTGAGATTTTGCAGAAAATGTTCCTTTGAAGGAAGAAGTTGCTAATTCAATCAAACAAAGGCTTTTATCCAGCATTAACTAACCTCACATTAGTACTCTCTAGAGGAATTCTGTTTGGATTTTTATTATAAATCCCAATTACATTTCAGGAGTATTTGTTTTAGCCAATTGTTTGAAACTTTGGAAGCCATACCTCAAAGTATCCTATATAATAAAAGGCTTATATGCAAATTGTCCTTTCGCCCTGGGAATTTGACCAGGGGGTGAGACCGGCTGGACAACCCCCCTCAGCCCCTCTTTCCAGCTGGCCTGGCCCAATTGGCCAGGATTGGGGCTGGCTTGCCGGACCTCACCCATGGCCTCTAATCCAGTTATAAACTGAGAAACATCTTATTTGGGCATTGCTCCTTTCCTTCAGGATAAATCCATAATAACCCTTCTTAACGTGGGGAGAGTAAAATGTTATTCTAACCAGAAAAACCTGAACTGAAACCTCAGTTTCTGGAATTTAATTCTCATTTCTATTTGAAAGAGAAAAGAAGTAATTGGGGGATATTTCCCCAATTGGATATGATCAATATTCAAGGCAGATGTTAGTGTAGATCCAATGTGATACAGTATACAATTTGAATATCTGCAGTTTGATGTAATGAGCAATTGTTGTTACTGATGGTTACAAGAACCAGGTTCATCAAAGACATACTTAATGATGCTTCCTATAATGTTCTTCCCTAGACAGAAAATAAACATTTTTAGACATCTGAAAATGTTGTTAATAATGATTACAACAAAAATATATTCTGCTGGTCCTTGACCCACTGGGAAATATAAAACAACCCATTCCTTGACTGTTCTTAGATATTAAGAATTTTCCAAATTAAAACAAAAAACAAAAAACATCATTCTGAAAGACATAGAACTAACCTGATGTGTCTTTTGTCCATTGTTCATCATCATCAAAGTGAGCATCTCCGTTAATCCTCTGTGGCCCAGGTGGAAAAGCATGAGCCAAAACCATCCCAGGTCCATCAAAAGAGTAAAAGTCTCCATGTGCTAATAAAGGGGGAAAAAATTACTGGAAAGAGAGGTAACTACAATCGCTTGGGAAACTTTCCCAGTAAAATACCACCAAGTACATAGATGCATTTCATGTTTCGTTTGCTTGTTTCTTACCTAAAACTGCAAAAGAGATCATTATGTCAGCCTCTCCTTCACACATCCTGGAGAATGTCAGTGGAGTCACCTTCTCCCAGACTTTCAGAGCCTTCTCAATGGCGGAATCAACAGCATCTCTTGGCAAATCCAGTGTGTAATTCACAATCCTGAATGAGAACAGTTGAAGAAGATATTTTCTCCTGACATAGCCTCTTATAAAATCTCAGTACAATGTGGAAACCTCTCGGGACCCATTCGTTACCTGTAGGTGAGGTGAGTCTTCGTCCACTTGGGCATGCCGGGAAAGGTCCTGAACTCTCCCACGTCCGGGATTCCGCACCTGGGCTTGCGCATCATCTCCAGCGTGTCTGAGTCCAGCTTCCCCGTCACCGTCAGCCCCATGAACTTCTGCATTTCTTGGATTTTTTTAACAACAGGGCTACTGTCCTTCCTTCTAACAAACTGTTTTGTGTCTTTTGGAAGGTTGTAGTAATGTTCTAGGTAGTGCTATTGGGATAAAATGTGTAGTTTTTTAGGTCATTTTTAGCATTTTTTAGCCCTTTGGAGGACATTTGTGCAGTTGTCCATTTAATATATCTGGAGTATTCCTCCCGTTTGCTGAAATAAGTGTCACATTCTGTTTAATTTTTTAATTACAGACTCCACTTTTGTGTTATTTTTGTAGCGAAATAATCTCTACAGCTTAGTTTATTACCAAAGTAATTGAAATTAAGTAGAACATTTAAATCTAGATCTAATCAATTTAAAGGAGAAAAAAATGGGCATAATTGTATATTTCAGGTATACTTACCCAGTTCCCTCAGTTTTCTATTTTATGTGTTTCACAAGGTCTTGGCTTAAGAAAAGGAAACGGACAAATTCCTGTGTCTAAACATGACACTAGCAACATAAAGATCTAGTTTATTGTACATTGGATTAAAATACCCAAAGATTCTCTACGGGGGTCCAGAACAAGTCACCCTAAAATGTGCCTGTGTGATATGCAGATTACTTTGTGCTAACGGCAACTTCAGCCTGCCACCTTTAACTTCTAGGGAAACTTCTGCCTTAACATCCAAGAAGAATCTGAATTAGAGGGCTTTACTCCCAACGATAACCTTTGGACCCACCTCTATATGAGGACAAACTATTATTTACTAGTTGTCTCTTCTCATCCTACAATGACCCCTGAGATGCATTACCTCATCCCTAGCTCAGGATGTCTTATGTACCTCAATCCCATTTTTGTCTCTGAGCCTCTCCTGCAGGTGGGGTCTCTGGCTCATGTATGCAGGGTTCCCATGCATATGTATGTATGAAATTCCATTATTTTCTCTGACTAAAACAACAACAACAACAACAACAAAAACCTAAAAAAATCCCAAAGCAAGATACATTTCCTCCAGTCTCCTTACTATGCTGTCTGTAACTTTAGGAAAACACCTGGTTTTTCTTTTGCCCGACATGACAGGAGGTGCCCAAACAGTAGGAAACTGAGACCTCTCCCACATGCAGCACTCTACAAAACTCTCTGCGCTTGAATGAGCCCTGCGCCATAATTCAAATCACTCTGCACGAGTTTTATGAATGGGAAGCAGAGGTGGTTTCACGGCTTGGCCCTGTGAATGAGCGTGCAGGCTGTCTCCCTTAGTTACCTGAACGAGGTCCATGGTGTCCTCCATATCCCTTGCAGCTCCATTCAGTGGAAGGGCTGAGCAAACAGCCAGACTCAGCAGCAGCAGTAGCACAGGGAGATTCTTCATTGCTCCGGGCTGCACTCTGATCTGAGTTGTCTTAGTGCCTTGCTCTTTGCCTGCCCTCTTCTAGGTCCTCCCTCTGGAGCCCCACATTTATAGGGTGGCAGTGTTTGTTTAGATCACCCCCAGCAGCTTGACTCACTAGTGCTGTCATCCAGACAGCAGCCGAACCACTTCCAAAAATCCCAAACCGAACGTGGGATGTCACAAGTTACTTTACTAATTTCTCTCAACTTCTCCAAATTTGCAAGTCAAAATAATGATTAATCTCCAGGAAATGCTTCCTGTATTACGAAAGAAAAAAATTGGGCTTCCCCCCTCCCCCCCCCCCGAAAAAAAAAAAGTGACTGGAGTTTACAAGACAATTTATGTTTGTGTGCTTGAGAGAAGTAAGCTGACTCAGTAAAATGTCAGAATTGCATAGAACTTTTAAATGAGTTTTAAAATAACATATAGGGCCCTAGCAAGTTTGGCTCAGTGGATGGAGCATCGGCCTGTGAACTGAAAGGTCTCAGGTTCGATTCCGGTCAAGGGCACATGTCCTGGCTGTGGGCTCAGTCCCCAGTGAGGGACTTGCAGGAGGCAGCCAATCCATGATTCTCTTTCATGATGGATGTTTCTATCTCTCTCTCTCTCTCCCTTTCGCTCTGAAATCAGTAAAAATAAAATATTAAAAACAAATGTTACATGATGTAAGTATATGAAAAGCTATACATATATAGCTAAAGTATGTGCTAAAGATTCCATTAAAGAAAAGAAAATAAAGAAATAATGTTTATAATTAAATGGAAAGGAGAATTTCTTTTTTTGTGTCTTGGATTTGAAATATCTATTTCTTTTTTCTAGCTGGATCTATTAGATCTTGAGGAGGAAAAACTACTAGACAGGATAGAACAAAGATTGTGAAGAAGTAAGTGCATCCATTCCCTTTGTTTGGTCTTAATTCTGTATTCATTTATTAATGGGCAACAGATCTGTAACAGCTGTTTTGTGAATGCTGGTAAAATTAAAATGAATTATATTGTTCACTAGACTGAAATTCTACACTATTTAAAAATCCTCTTTCAATCCCTTTTCCTTCTCTGTAAATTCAAATAGTACATACTTTGAACTTAAGAAAAAGCCATCCTTGCTGAAACCGGTTTGGCTCAGTAGATAGAGCGTCGGCCTGCGGACTGAAAGGTCCTGGGTTCAGTTCCGGTCAAGGGCATGTACCTTGGTTGCGGGTAAATCCCCAGTGGAAGGTGTGCAAGAGGCAGCTGATCGATGATTCTCTCTCATCGATGTTTCTAACTTTCTGTCCCTCGCTCTTCCTCTCTGTAAAATCAATAAAATATATTTTAAAAAAATAGCTATCCTAATTTCTTTCTCCATGCTGTTTATTTATTTCTCCTCTTTCCTCTTTCCCCTCCTTTCCCCTTTCCTCCCTTCCCCTATCCTACCTATTTTATTTTCTTTCCATTTCCTTTCCTTTCCTTATTTTTCTTTCTCAAGTATTGTTCACATCAATTGTCCTATATAATAAAAGGGTAATATGCAAATTGACCCTAATGGGGGAATGACCAGAACGACCAATTGACCAGTCACTATGAGATGCACTGACCACCTCTAAGTCCCTCCCCAGAGCGGGCAGGCTCCTATCCCTAATGGCAATCTGGGAACCTCGGGTGGGTGGTGGGGATGCAGGCGGCACCAGGCCAAGGCCCCGCCCCACTGATTGCCCCACACACAGAGGGTGACCCCAAGTGGGGGCACAAACGGGTAAGAATGGCGACCTCTTGGTCCATCACCCTGGCCTGTAGACTCTGATCGCCATGGCGTACCAATTTCCATTAGTGGGAAGAAGCTACAATAGAACAGCCCGGAAATGGCAAATCTTTTTCCTTATCATCGGGCTCTAGAGAAGTAATGGCCAGGTCCCCAGCTGGGCCCCTCGGAGCCATCTCTCCTCTGCCCAGCCCTGCTGATCACTGCGTGTCCCAGAGCAGGAGGAAGAGAAAAGCTAGACTTAGCAATGCCATGCACCCGAGGGTCAGGGGTAGCAGAGGGACTTGGTGACGATATACAGACTTTGGAGTCACACAGACTCTGCCAGTTAGAGCTGTGAAACCTCTGAGCCTTGGTTTCCTCATCTATAAAATGGATGTGATAATAGTACCAGCCACACCGGCATGTTACAGGGTGTGCATAAGATTATGCACGTAAGGCCCTCAGCCCAGTGCCTGACAGGTACTCCTCACTGTGGCCACTGTGATTTTCTGCCCCCTGCCCTCACTGGGCTTGGAACCCTAGGGCTCAACTGGCAATCTGGGCAGGTGTGGCAATTGCCTGCTCCATGTTCAGGGGCTCCTGGGAGAGCGTGGATTCCTGGGAAAACGGCTCTACAATGTGAAACTCCTGAGGGTCAGCAGCCCAGCAAGGTCCCACCACATGCTCCCCGGGTCTCCTAGGACCTAAGCAATCCCCGCTGCCTTCCCTCTGCCCGGCATTGTCCTGTCCTGCATCGGTTGTCACTCATGCCGGGAATCCCTGAGTCATCTGTGTGCACATCTGTGTCCCTCAACAGTCCCCAGCTCTTCCCTGCACTTGGGAAAATCACTTAACCACTCAGCGCCTTTGTTTTCTCATCTGAAAGCTGAGAATAATAGTGCCGGCCTCCTGGCGTTGCTGACCAAACCAGGCCGCCAGGTGAAGCACTGAGAAGAGTGCCAGTCCCCAGTGAGTTTTAAGTGGCTGTTCAATGTCAGCTGTTCTGTTATTTTTGTTGAAAGGGAATCTCCTAGGAGTAGGGGTTCTGAGAGGTGCCACTGTCCTGTGAAAACCCTAAATGAGAATAGTCAGCCTCTTTCAGAAACTATGAGCTCATTAGCATAATAAACCATTTGACTCCTATAAGCATTAACAACAAAGAGGGAAAAGCCTGAGGCCAGGCTTGGGTGTCTGTTCTGTATACTTGTAGGTTGCTGGTTAGGTTGCCTGTCAGGGCACCTTGTGGGCTGATGATTATGGGCTCATGTTTCTCTCTTTCTTCCTCTCTCTCAAATAAAGGAAAAGATATTAAAATAAATAAATAAATAAATAAATAAAGTTAGAAGTGAAGCCATTCTGTTCCCATGGCTGCAAACTCTAGAAGAAAACATAACAAGAATAAGAGACTCTTAAAAAAATTATAGCAATAAAAATAACATAGAATTCCAAAGAGGAAGAAAACGGGCATCTAAAGGAATCCATGTGGCTACAGGGGAAATCATAATAAGCCTAGATTTTAAAAGTCAAACTGGCAAAAATGTATTTGCAGCAAATATTCAATAAATGGTTAGTATCTTTAACAAATAAAGAGCTCACACAGCTGAAACCGGTTTGGCTCAGTGGATAGAGCGTCAGCCTGTGGACTGAAAGGTCCCGGGTTCAATTCCAGTCAAGGGCATGTACCTGAGTTGCAGGCACATCCCCAGTAGGAGGTGTGCAAGAGGCAGCTGATTGATGATTCTCTGTCATTGATGTTTCTAACTCTCTATCCCTCTCCTTTCCTCTCTGTAAAAAAAATCAATAAAATATATGTTAAAAAATAAAAAATAAAAAAGAGCTCACACAAATCCTATATAATAAAAGTCTAATATGCAAATAGACTGAACTGCAGAACTATCGGTCCCTATAATGTACACTGACCACCAGGGGGCAGGTACCCAACACAGGAGCTCCCCCTGGTGGTCAGTGCGCTCCCACAGGGGGAACGCAGCTCAGACAGAAGCCAGGCTCATGGCCGGCGAGCTCAGCAATGGTGGTGGAAGCCTCTCCCACCTCAGTGGCAGCACACAGGAGCAGTGAGCTGGAAGGTAAGGAGCAGCGAGCAGGCAGGTGGTAAGGATTGAGGAGTCCCAGACTGCAAGAGGGCACAGGCCAGACTGAGGGGCCCTTCTCCCCCAGTGCACAAACTTTGTGTACCGGGCCTCTAGTTCTAGCTAATAAAAGAGTAATATGCAAATCGACCATACCTCCGCTATGTCCACAAACCACGCCCACCAGCCAATCAGGAGCAAGTATGCAAATTAACCCAACCAAGATGGCTGTGGCCACTGAGTGAGCAGGAGGCGTGGGTTTCTTCAGCAATGGAGGAAGCCAAGCTTTCTGAACACCCTGGCAGGTCCAGACCTCCTCTCAAGGCTGCAAAGTTAATTATAGAAGATAAATAAATTCCAACAAAAATTGCTGTGGCCATGGAGTGAGTAGGAGGCTTAAGTAGCCCCTGGTGATGGAGGAAACCAAGCTCCCTCAGCTCTGGGCTCCACTCAAGGCTACAAAGTTTCAATTATAGAAGATAAATAAATCCTAGATACCAGGATCTCCACTTGGGTCTGGAAGGGAGGAGAAGCGGGGAGAGGGTATGGCTGCCCTGAAAACCACCATAGGCCCCTCACCCAGGCTGACAGAGGCCCAAGGGAACCTCCACTCTGATCTGGGACACCCTTCAGTGCAAACCAGCCACCCCCCACCCGTGTACCAGGCCTCTATCCTATCTAATAAAAGAGTAATATGCAAATTGACCATCACTCCATGTGGATACAAGATGGCCACCATAAGACAGCAAGGGAGGGCAGTTGGGAGGAACAGGCCTGCATGGGAGGGCAGTTGGGGATGATCAAGCCTGCAGGGGAGGGCAGTTAGAGGCAAACAGGCTGGCAGGGGAATGATTAGGGGGTGATGAGGCTGGCAGGCAGAACTGGTTAGGGACAATTAGGAAGGAAGGCAGGTGAGCAGTTGAGAGCCAGCAGTCCTGGATTGTGAGAGGGATGTCTGGCTGTCTGGCTGACAGGCAGTCGGACATTCCTCGAGGAATCCCAAATTGAAGAGGGTGCAGGCTGGGCTGAGGGACACACCCTCCTGTGCACAAATTTCATGCATTGGGCCTCTAGTATATAATATTAATAAATGCCTGTAGGAAAATCCCTAAACAGTCTCAGAGGAGGAAACTTGGTTAAACTTTTAAGGATCCTGTTGCCACCTAC